CAATCCCATAAGAAAGAAAGTAATCGTGAGTAGAGACGTTCGAATGAACGAAGCAAGCAAGTGGGACTGAAACAATTCGATAGAGGTTATTGACGCAGTCAAATAAATAACTGTAGCTGTACCAGTAAGTATTCCAACAGAACATGAAGAAACTGAAGATGAAGATGAGCCTCTACAACCAAAAATGAGAAGTTTGCAAGATTTGTATGATTCAACAAGTGAGGTGCATCTTGTGTGTCTTCTGGCAGATGCTGAAAACATCAGCGCAGAAGAAGTGTTACGAGACAAGAAGTGGAAAAGTGCCATGGACGAAGAGATTAGAGCAATCGAACACAACAATACTTGGGATCTAGTCGAATTGCCAAAAGGTAGTCAACCTATTGGTATAAAGTGGGTATTCAAGAAAAAGATGAATGCTGAAGGAGAAATCGAAAGATTCAAAGCACGACTGGTTGCGAAGGGATACAAACAGAAAGCAGGAATTGACTATGACAAAGTGTTTGCGCCTGTTGCAAGAATGGAGACAATTCGATTACTCATTTCTCAAGCTGCCCAATTCAAATGGCCAATATTTCAAATGGATGTCAAGACATCATTTTTGAATGGTGTGCTCGAAGAAGAAATCTATGTCGAACAACCACTTGGATATATGAGAATTGGAGAAGAGAAGAAGGTGTTGAAACTAAAGAAATCGATGTATGGGCTGAAGCAAGCACCTAGGGCATGGAACACACGTATTGACACATATTTCAAAGAGAACGGGTTTGAACAATGTCCTTATGAACCCGCCCTCTATGTGAAGAAAAATGGAAGTAATTTATTACTTGTTGCTCTCTATGTTGATGACCTTATCTTTCTAGGCAGTGATGTTCAGATGATCGAAGATTTCAAGAACACCATGACAAGTAAATTCGAAATAACAGACTTAGGTCTGATGAGATTCTTTCTTGGTCTGGAGGTTTGACAAGAAAAAGCTGGAATTTTTATCCCACAAGAAAAATATGCAAAAGAAATCCTAGAAAAATATAAAATGAAGAATTACAATCCAACTTCGACGCCAATGGAACCAGGTACAAAACTGTCAAAGTTTGATGGAGGAGAACGGGTTGAAGGAAGCAAATATCGAAGCTTGGTAGGTAGCCTTCGATATCTCACATGCACAAGGCCAGACATTTCACTAAGTGTTGGCATAGTAAGTCGATTCATGGAGGAGCCAGTACACACATTGGAAGGCGCTGAAACGAATTCTAAGATACATCCAAGGAACAATATCACTAGGAATGTTTTATTCAAAAACAAAAAACTACAAGTTAGTTGGTTATTCTGACAGTGACTGGTGCGGAGACATAGACGATCGAAAGAGAACCTATGGATATGTGTTTTTCATGGGAAACACAATATTTACTTGGCTGTCGAAGAAGCAACCTATAGTAACACTTTCGACGTGTGAAGTTGAATATGTGACAGCATCCTGGTGCGTCTGTCATGCAGTATGGCTCAGAAGGTTGATAAGCAAGATGGAGCTAAAACAGGAAGATCCAACAATAATACAAGTGGACAATAAATCATCTATCGAATTGGAAAAGAATCCAGTGAATCATGAACGAAGAAAACACATTGATGTTCGATTTCACTTCATTCGTGAACATGTGAAGGAGGGAAGTGTCGAATTGAGGCATGTAGCAAGCAGAAACCAAGCAGCAGATATTTTTACAAAACCACTATCAAAAGAGATCTTCGACAGAGGCAAGAAGATGATATGAATGCTGGATGGAAGAAACATTTAAGTTTACAGAGGAGTTTTGTTGAATAAACATTAAATGTCATTAGTAATAAGTTTCATATTAAATATGGTAGTAGGAAGGACAAAAGTTTAGTAAGTTATGATAGTTTATTAGTAGCAGTTATATTTTTTTAGAATTGTAAAAGCCATTAGGTCTATATAAAGACCAAGAGTGTATTTTATTTTAATAAGAGATATATATACAAAGTTTTGTCTGAAGTCTGATTAGTTATAACACTTAGTGCTTTATGTGAATATGAAGACATTCATTCTAAATATTTTAACTACAATATGAAAAATAACTTCTCTGGATAAAAGAAATTACCCTCAACAATTTTGTCAGAGAGGACTTTCATGACATAATGTTGCTGGTATGTTGTTGCTTGTTGTGCTATTCCAAATAAGAATTGGTCATTTAATTGTTGTCATCATATTATCCTCTCCATCAGTTACGGTTCGCCCATTCTCCATTTCTAGAAAATCTACTTCGATACAAAATAGTTTGATCTTCAAGGTGTTGCGACCCACTGGTGCTACAGTCTTCATGAATGCTTGCAAGCTACAGTCATCATGAATAAATGCAATGTACCTCTGCAGTTGAGAAGTGACAATCGTGATTAGGTTTAATAGAATCATAGATGGGTGGTAGTATCATAAAACCAACACTTCTTGAGGAAGTTATGAGACAACAACCGTCAAAAATAGAATAATCTATCAATACCTCGTTATGACCTAATAATTGTTGCTCAAGTGAAGCAAGAAGTCAAAATCAATGGAACAATTAGCTATAATACGAGAATACAAGTAAATTCCAGTCAAGCTTTGAGTGTATGAACTACGCATCCAGTTCAAACTGTTCAATATATACTCACCATCCGAACCCATTCCCTGTAAAAGAAAACAAACTATGTAATCACATATTATTTAATTTTACATGAATTTTACGGGTAGTTTATCAAACAGATGTCGGGTAGGTTATCAAACATATGTCACTCACTGATAACCGATAAATGATTCTTAAACTGTCCGTAAAAACAAACTGAAACCCTTGTTTTGATACTACACTTCCATCTACTTGCATGTTTAAATTAAATCAGAATTTGAACCATGGTTGCTTTACCTTAAGTTGATGAAACAAAATGAACATGATAAGAATGTGAACATTGTAAGAACTTACAGGATCAATGTATGTAGAATCATCCGCAAACTGGAGGACATAACTTCATGTACAACAAACTCATCACACTTTAAATATACAAGTGTATGCTAATAATAACCGACACGACAACGACACTATTTTTTCAGTGTGAATCTGGTTACCTGTCAAGTTCCCATGTTAAGTTTTCCATTTGTAATCGGTATCTTGAAAATACAGGACATTGGTAGACAACAAGATAATGATAATTTTAAAACCAATGTTGAACCCTTCTTGTGCAACTGCTTCTTTCCCTGCGATGAGTCCATCTCGATATCCAATCTAAAATATGATGCAGAATGAGAAAACAATGACTACCTAAATCCGAATCATCATACTGTAAATGAAAATTGAAGATTCTTTCTTTTGACCAAAAGCTTTAAAACAAATATCAAGAATATTAGTTTTAAATTACAGTATGGAATTGATCATGTCTGGGAAATAAAAACAAGCATTTAATTTGCCAGTTTTCCAAAGTCGTCGATTCACTAGTTTTTATCGATTTTGGTCGGTTCTGCTCAGTCTCACTAATTTAACAGCTTATCCAATCCAACAATCAAACCAAATAAATAACCCATCTAATTTCTAGTTCGATCAACTGATCCTATCTGATTTTTGAAACAATGTCACCACCTCTAAAGTTTCTCTCTCACTTTCATATTTATTAATCTTTTATATTTTCATTATAAATGTATTATTTTAAACAATATTATTTCTAATTTATAATATAATTTAATTCATATTTTTTTTATATTTAATCACATTAATATATAATGTCAGGATCCGCATCTATCTATTTATCGTATCCTTTTTAACTATGTACAACTAATGTATTAGAGAAAAAAATAGAGTAAAAAAGATGTAACACATTTATTTGTCGTTGTGTAAAAAAAAGTTAATGAACAAAAAATATCAGATATTCATCTCATTAAAATGGGTTAATAAGTTTGAAAATAATTAGAATAAAATAAATCAAATAATATTATTGTATTTGCGTATAGAGTATTTTAATTTTAAACTATAAATTTAAATAAAAAGAAAATATATTATAAAAATAAATATCCACCGTGTACATAATTCTTTTAAGAGATAGTACATGTTAAAAATTCCCTTTTATTATTCACACTTATAAAAAATACTATTAACCTTTTTCCCTTTACACCTTTTTATTAATAAAAAATTTATTTACCTATTTTTCTCTTACTTCTTACCAAGTGGCAAGTGCTTATGACAATATATTGTTTCCATCGCAGCACTAGATAGGAACGACCCTACCACCCTCCCCACTCTCCAACTTGGTGCCACGCCTTCTCTCCAAACACGCATCAACTCTCCAACTTCATTAATATATTTTCAATATTTATTTATTTATTTTTATCAACTAGCGCCGTCCAATAAAGAAACTGTGGGTCCTTTCCTCAAAAATAATAAACCAAAACTAAAACAAAAATAAAAATAAAATAAAAATATCTATAAATCCATTGAATTTAAATATACGTCTAGTTTCATTGAATTTAAATAATACGTTAAGTTTTCTCAGCCGCTACGTTCTTAACCACAGCCGTCACAGCCTGCGTGTCTTTTGTTCTAATCCCATTCATTAATTAATTTACCTGTTTAATTAATTAACACTAACCCTCAATTACAACTCTTTATTATTCTCATTCTATTAATTAACTAATCTTTCCCCAGTTGAAAACGATTAATACCAATTTGTCCCCTTTCGCCGTTTCTTCCTCTCTCTCTCTCTCTCTCATCATAACCTCCCCAACTCTGTTATCTTTCCCTGTTAACATTCTTTCTCTTCAATTTCACCTTCCCTTATCTCTTCCTCTCAATCAGGTACAATTTCATTCATAATTCTTGTAATTTTCTCTTACTTTTGTAATCAAGATTCATCGTTTGGAGGAATAATTGAAACCATGCATCTTGATTGAAAATTCGAATATTCATCGACGGTATATTCGTTATTGAAATTTACGCAGGTTTTTTTTCCGTGAAAGAACAGATCTACCGGGATCTATGGCGGAAGAGCACCGATGTGAAACTCCGGAAGGTCACCGACTCTGCGCTAACAACTGCGGCTTCTTTGGAAGTTCAGCCACGATGAATTTCTGTTCAAAATGTTACCGAGATATTCATCTGAAGGAGCAAGAACAAGCCAAAACCAAATCCACAATCGAAACCGCTCTTTCCTCAGCCTCCTCCTCCGCCGCTTCTGCTGCCGTAGTCGTTGAATCTCAGGTTCTGGTACCGTCGAGCGAATCTCTCTCTCAACCTCAACCACCGGCGTTGATTATACCGTCGGTTGTTTCTGACGCGTCGGAATCTTCGATCGGATCGGTTCAACCGAACCGGTGCGGGACGTGCAGAAAACGGACCGGGTTAACCGGGTTCAAGTGTAGATGTGGAATCACGTTTTGTGGGACCCACAGGTATCCGGAGAAACACGAGTGCGGTTTCGATTTCAAGGCGGTGGGGAGAGAGGAGATAGCTAAAGCGAATCCCGTGATCAAGGCCGATAAGCTGAGAAGAATTTGATTTGATTTCCGCCGTTCGATGACGGATGTGATTTCGATGATTTGATCTGAACCGTTCGTTTGACGCGGAACTTACCTACACAAACGAATCATCTGGCGACGCTTGATGAAATGTAAAAAATCTATCTATTAAAAAGGTTGAATAAGTCTTTTTCTTACGTGGCTTTTGCTTTGTGTATTAAATGGGAAAAAAAGTGATTTTCTTATGTTCAATGTAATGAAATTGAAAATTTTAAGTCCACATCGCGTTTGGAATCTACGGTGTTGTCCAAATGTAAAGCGTTGCCGATTCATATTTTATTTGTAGTATTTGTATGGCAATTTCTAGTTGGTGGAGCTTTTGGTTTGTGTGAAAAGTGAGAGCAATCCTACTCATTTCTTTTGTTGTCACTAGTGTTTGTCTAGATTATATTTTTTTTGTAGAAAATGTCTACACTGAGCACAAGAAGTGCAGTGTGAGACCACAACACCAAAGCATACAAAGAGTTAAAACTACAAACCTGAGGGACAAAACAACAATCCCTGTCAATAAATTGAACCTGTACACCCGGCGTCCAAACAGAAAATGGCCTAAAAACCTGAAGAAAATAACAACACCTAAAGTTAACAAGGTAAAAATCAGGCTACAAGACAGATTGCTGCCAAAACCTAAAATCACTGTAATTGGTGAAACTCCCGTCAAGATTAACCTGCTCCAAAATGCGAAATTAACCAACACCAAGCAGCAAGCTGCTTCTAGCAACCAACGAAATTTGCTACACCAGTAAGAAACCCAGTAGTAAAACTTGACAGCCTGCGCCATAATTGTATACTGATATTACGAATTGGTCTATAAAAGTGCTAGCATAACCTTGCTGAGATGTTGACAATTTGCACCACAACAGTGAAGCTCACCTTGCCTACTCCTGAACCACTCCTGAATCGATGATAATCTTTGACATAACTTCATGCTCGATGTGCTCAAACAAAAACGACGCCAGACTCAGCGAGCATTAGCCTATAAGACGATGAATTCCGCTTAATTCCTTTGCCTACCTGAAACATGGGCTACTGAGACGACCAAGAGCCCCATCCTGCTGCAAAACCTGAAAGATCTTCACTAATATCGGATCCACGCACGAACTGGCTGGTTAATCAACACAGCCCAAAACAGCTCTTGTATATAAATACCAGGAAGTGAAAGTATAGTCTATGCTTTTGGATTTGATTTTCAACCAATTCCAAAACCATCTTTTCATAGATTCAGTTATGTTGATCAAATTGATGTCCTTGTTCTTGAAAAGCTTATCGTTCCTTGCCTTCCATATGCATCATATGCATGCAAATCAAATTACCCTAACTCTCTCGGTAAAAACTCTTTTGGTACTAACGAGTCCTTCGAATTGAAGAAGATGATCAATCCATCCGGTACAGTGTCGTTGATATGCCTAAACCAATTCGAGACATAGTACCAATTACCTGCAAAAAACAAAGATTCGAAAAATAGGTGGGAGACCGATTCCTCAGTTCCACAACCACTGCAACAGGATAAAGATCCATGACCTATAATCCCTCTCCTAAAAATATTATCCTTTGTAGCAATTCTGTTTTGAAGAAGCCTCCAAATTAGGAAAGAGACTTTTGACGGAATTGATTTATTTCAAATCTTCAACCACGGGAGGTTAGACGCGATAGTTCTAGACTCCATGATTTTCTTATAGGTTACTCTAACAGAATATTCATTAGGTAATTCTCCAAATCCTATATCTAAGTTAATTAAGTCAGCCCACCAAAGAGAGGTAATAGACCGCGATAGGCGACAAAACAAATTTAATAATAACCACCCAACCTTCAATGGACAGTTGATTATTCTTCCATCTAGTCAATCTGGATCTCACTGCATCGATCACGGGCTTCCAAGTCACTAAGCGTCTCGGGCTTGCCCCAATTGGAAGAACAAGGTATTTGAATGGGGTTGTTGTAGCGATGAAAATCGGAGATCAAGCTATTAACTTGACTCGCAAAAGCAAAAGTCGTCACCGCGCTTTATTATTTCCAAGGGAAAAGGGGAAAGAGCGAAATAAAACCCTAAAGTATGCAATGTAAAATAATACTTTTAAAAGTAATGAAAATACAAGGCGTTTTTGAAAAGAGGTCTATGGTTCGGGGGTTGGTTATACAATGGGAAGGTATTAGCACCCAATGCATCTGCGGTACTCCGCAGAAACCTTTTGAAATATCTGTTTTTTGGTTAAAATTGTTTGTTTGATTAAAATGGTTTGTTTGGTTAAAGATGGGTATGGACGATATTTTTGAAGATACGACGACCTAGTGTCGAAGTTTTGACTTAAAAGGTGTGAGTTTGAAATTTGAATCTTTTAGGAAAATCGACTTAATTTTTGGAAAAAAAATAGTAAATAGGAAAAAAATGAATGAGGGTGTTCGCTTGATCGTATTAGATATATTTGCTGACATGAAGTCAACAAATTTAATTCTTTCTCTTGGAGTTGATCATAAGCAAGTAGGTCTAGTAATCGAGCAAGAATCATATATAAGTAAAAAAATCCAAAAGAAACAAACAAGGAGAATAGTGACAAGATAAACTATAAGAAACTAAATAAACGCCCAGAGAAGAATCATGAATAAAAGAAAAAGATAATTAGAGGGTTATCTAAACTAATTTTGAAATTCTAAGGTTACTAAGTAAACTAAACTTAAATTCTAAAGTTTCTAACTAAACTAAACAAGATTTTAAAGTTAATAACTAAAACTAAATTAAAATTATAAAATTACTAACTTAAAATTCTAAAGTTAATAAATTAAATTTAAAATAAATTAGAATTCTAAAATTACTAAGTTAGATCTAAACTAGAGTAAAAATTTTAAAATTAGTAAATTAAATCTAAACTAAATAAATTCCAAGATTGCTAACCTAAAACAAAGAAAGTTCCAAAGTTACTAAACTAAATCTAAATCAAATAAAATTCTAAAAGTTTACTAAGTCAAATCTAAATGAAATAAAATCTAATTCTAAAGTTACTAAGTCAAATCTAAATGAAATAAAATCTAATTCTAAAGTTTACTAAGTCAAATCTAAATGAAATAAAATCCTAAAGTTACTAAAATAAAATTAAACAAAAAAATTTAAAGTTTACTAAGTCAAAACTAAAACAAATAAAACTCTAAAGTTACTAAATTATATTTAAATCGAATAAAAATTCTAGAGTTATTAAATTAAATCTAAATCAAATGAAAATTTTCAAGTTACTAAAGCTCTAAAATTACTAAATTATATCTAAACTAATTTAAATATAAACTAAGTTAATTATAAAATCACTAAGTTATAAAATTAAAATTCTAAAGTTGTTAAATTAAATCTAAACTAACTTAAATTTCTAAAGTTACTAAAATAAATCTAAGCTAACTAAAAATTCCAAAATTACTAAACTAAATCTAAATCAAATAAAATTCTAAAATGACTACATTACATTAAAATAGAAATTTTAAAGTTATTAGGTCAAATATAAATTAGATAAAAATTCTAAAGTCAAATCATATTTTAAACTAATTGAACGTTCTAATAAATCTAAACTAAAAAATCTAGATTAAGACCACTTTAAGCCTAAATTAAATTAATTATAAGGAAAAGGGGTGTAAAACTGAAGTATAGGGTGGAGATAATAGTTTTGAATGGGCTTGTTTAATTGTGTTGGGGTGAAGCCCATATGCCATCCAAATAATTAAACAAACTAGAGTAAAATATTGCTTGGACTAGACCGGGTCACAGGGTGAGGCCCGAAAGTTTCAAAAGAAGCAACTTAATGTTTTTCACTAGGTTTGGCCGTTCCACTTCTTCTTGGAAAGGGTCAATAGTTACTTTTAATATAATTATCAACAACTCCCAAAATTTTGTTACTCTTTCAATGATTCACCCTCTGCAGATTTCTCTATGCTCTCACGTTCCTACTTCTTCTCTTCAAATAAACCTTCCTTTCACCAACCAGTAACAACAAACAAAATTCCTCTATCCCCATAATTTTCAATGAATAAACAACAACAACAGTTCTTGCAAAGAAAAAAAACATACTTGGTACATTGTTGTTATGATATTTCCTCCTCTTTAGATTTCTCAGGCGCATGACTTGAGCTATTCTGCTTAATTATCTTGAGCTTGAAATCATCCAATGATACACCAGTCTCAACAGACTGATCACGTTCATGGCCTTCATACTCGTTCTCATGGTCAAAATCGTGATCGAGTTCATCATTTTCATGAACATGATCATGCTCTTCATCTGAAATTAACGCATGAATTTCAGGCCCAACAACGTAATCATCAAAGGAAACAGCTAGATCAGGAGTAATAACAGCATGACCGAGTGGAGGAGGCGACACGGTAATAACGAAATTATGATCGGTTTTCTACTGGTTTGAAAATGTTGATTTTGCACCCACAATCCATGACATGTTTTCACTTTGCTTTGTTAGTACTCTTCATTGCATTTGTTCTCTGATATGGTGACTTGGAAGCAACTTTATCCTCTCTCTTCTCGAGGAACCGATGAAGAGAAGCTTTCCTCGTAACTGGAAGGTCGCAAATGATGGGTCTGAAAGAATTTGAGGATGTTCATGAATCGGCCCATTACAGGTTTTTGGACGATGTCGTTCACTGTCGGAACAAATGGAGCAATGGGGTCAACAGAAATTCTAACCGAGTTCTGAGGAAATGAAGGTTGGATTTGTGACTGATGGTTCTGTGGTGAGATGAGCTGATTATGGCAGTAAAGGTGTGAGAGAATAAAGGTATACAGGTTGATGCGTAGAGGATGAAGTGTGGTTAGATGATTTTTGCAAATGGATTGATGAAGTTACTGAAGGTTTATAGTAGAGGCGTTTTGCAGTGAGAATGATGTGAATAAATGAGTGAAGTTATGAGGGATTTGTGGTGTTATTTGAGCAGAGGTTCAATATGGTTTTCAGTGGATTGTGGTATGGATTTGAGCAGAGGTTAGGAGCGGAGTT